TTTCTCAAACACCTTTAACCAACTAGTCTCTATAATGAGATGCATTGTGCTTCCTGTGAGCCAGAAAGGGCATTCCGAATAAAGTTTGGAAAAGTTCGGGGCTTCAAAGAGGCGAATGACGCGTGTGTTCAGTTGAAGGCTTCGAATCCCGCCTGGAACGATGTGCTGTAACCTGGAATTTGATTAGGTCTATTCGACCTCTAAAATATAACTTGAACTGATTTCAAACTAGAGTGAGCCAAGCCGGTTTCTATCTATAACAGTAGTCTTTTATTTTTCTCTTTCGCAATCACGGACATTTTGCGATGGGCTGATCCCCCATGAAAGGATGCCTACCACGAAAATAAACACAGAAATCACAGGACTGGAAAGTTTACCCCATTCTGAAGTAGACGTTAATCAAATAACTTGTGTGAAGTTCTCACCACATCTGCGGCTTTGACGTTAATTGTTTGCAAATGGAATATAGCCATTGACTTCAACACAGTTTCTAGCTCGACTTAATGTACTGGCTATATTAAGCAATATATTAAATTTATTTCGTGCGTTTTCTACGAACTAGAGATACAAGTGCCTACGGCCATTAGCAAGCCATCAAGTGGTGCCTCCATCGGGATTTCCGCGAATTTGTTACAACGGAAGCGGAGAGGACGTTACATCACATTTGTTATATATACAGCAATATAAAGAAAACTGAGGGGTTCTTATGTGTATACTGTAACCATCCGCATTTTTCACCCCTAAAATAATGTGTAGATTAAAAATTAGTATTGGAGGTCTAAAGCTAAACATGAAACTAAAACTGAACTCCATTGCTTGAGTCCGCAAGCGAACTATACCGACCGAGTGACCGCCGCTCGTCAGCGAAGTTAGTGCCAAATTTAGCGGATAGAGAGTGTTGTGTGGTCGGCGTAACGGATCCCCACGGCCGTTATTTTCGGTTTTCTAGACCGGAGCCACTATTTCCATGAAATAGTTCCTCAATTATCCTCACTAGGCTGAGTGGATCCCGTTTCAAACCCACTACTTCTCAGAAAATCTGGTGGCCACTGGAATCGAACCCGGACCTCTGGATCTGTAGCCAGGAACTCTGACCAGTAGACCACAGAGGCGGCCGGATGATACTGTGACGTGTTATATGACGTTCATCGCTGCGCAACGGCTACTGTGGTAACTCATACTTCTGCGACAACGAATACATGGAAATTGTATACACGTGTTTTAATAGAACCTATACACGATCCAAAATCAGTTACGTTGCGTGCAATTTTGTGATTAGGAAGGAAAGACTTTTCTATTTATTTGAAAAAGAAAATCCTGCGTCATATTTATGAAATGTGATGGATGTTATATTGATGCCCTTCTATATCCTTTGTGCCTTTCTACTTCCAGAAGCCGTACAACAAAGACAGACCAAGTTGTGGCGTAGACAGGTTAACAGATGTATCAACGTATACCCCTTCAGTGCACAGGAGTTTGGAAATGTAGGAACAACAAACACGTCCCGAGGGAAAACCGGACCAGTCTGCTTCTGCGTCGATTTCTCCCGTTCGGGATTATGGATGCAGTAGCTTCACAAGCGTTCACTGGACTCAGACCATAAGAAGTCCATAGTAGGCTAGAAAGTTCCAGAGGGAGGTGCTTCGCCTGCAGGAAATGGTTACTCTATAACGACAATAAAAATATTAAATATGTAACATTATTGTCTACATTTTGTTTTATTTCACCAACTCTCATGACTTACACTCAAAATTAAACAAGATTTGAATGATGCACTACAAATTTAAATAAGAGCACGTAAAAATATGTTCTACATTTGCTTTCTTCACGCACATGTTATCGGGGGGGGGGGGCACGCTGTAGCATAGTTCGATGAGACACTACAGCCCGGA